TCTGGTACGGCCGAGAGTGGGGAGAGTCAGTTCTCCCTCTCGAAATGCTCTCACATGAACACATGCATACAACTACTGCCGGGGAAGTCCTACTCACTGCCTTCTCGCGGCGAAGGTGTTGCTCACGAAATTGAGAAACACCAAAAAGCGAATATCTGGCTCTTTAACCGGACAGGTGGACACGGAGAGTTCACCTAGGGGAGTTGGAAAACGCTGATTCCAAACCAATGGCGCACATGGGCTCCAGTATCCTGAAGGAGCAAATGCCGTATGAATAAATCACTGGTCACCGACTACCATGGGATTGCATCTCCTGACTTTATTCCACTGCCTAGTGGATCAGACCGTTAGGTCAAAGGCTTCGAGTGAGGCTCCCTAAGAGTACCACCCGCTTCGGCTTGAGCACCCGGGCAGTATCACAGCCCTCGCACAAACCAAATGAGATTTGTGTGGCGCACATATATTTGGTGTTTCCTTGTACCAATATCTATGTGCTCAAATAAAATAATAAATAAGACGTTTTAAGTAATATAGCAGCCAGAACCACTTCACTCATTCTGATTGCTGGTTGATATCACCGACCAGTAACTAGTATCGTGCTTCACTTCATAGTAAAATCTGACAGCCTAGCTTAGAGATTCAGTACGTCATTACATAAAAACTTAATGTAGAGTGATATGAAACAATTTTCAAGATTCTTTATAACAAACATTCTAGAATCAATTTCTGTAACCGTGAAGATAGACAAAGATAGCTTAGATTCAATCAGCATGTATTTGGAAATAAGTTGTCTACTATTTGCGTGGAACTTGAACCATTCATAAATTTGAGGGACCAATCAAAAAAGGATTATAGAGCTTTAACTTGATGCATATGGCTGAACTAAACTGAAGCCTATCAAACTAAAACCTGATTTATTTGAATTCTGGCCCATCTGCCAAACTTTATTATCAATTGTAATATGTAGTCATAATACTATTAATTATGTTTCACAATAGGTGGAAACACAGTCTTTAATTCTGAAAACAGGGGTGAAGAATTGCTGTTGATTGAATAGAGATCTTATTACGACCAATAAACATTAAAACATCTATATAATATAACTTGGGATACATCTAAATATCTGAGATACTGTTCAAGCAGAGTATGACATGAGCATAAATTTCTAACTCTCCGGAGTTGAATGACAAAACAAACAATTAATTTACATCCACAGTCCACAGATTATGTATCTTTAACGCTGATCAAACATCGGAATAAAACGAAAGTTAAAAAATAGTCATTTCATCATTTTAACAACACCAAAAGGCGTAATATATCAAATAGCATTCCACAGTTAGCAATCTTAATACAATTTACGCTTATTTTTACCAAAACTTTCTTATGGTTACTCATTAAAACAGCTTACGAATGGCAGTGAGTGAGCTAAAAAAACGCTAACCAGAATAAACAAATTAATCTCTGCACTGGGAGTTAAAGGAAGAATTATGATGCCTCATGGTGAAAACCGATATTCTTAGGAATTCATGAGGCCAATATATTTTCTAATAACCAGAGTAACCAGTAATATGAGTACAAGGGATGTCCTGACAATGTGAGAAACCGAAAAAACTAGTCAAATAGCTAAGAATATGAGGAGATACAACTTGGCGCTGCTCTTGATAAGTGAAGCACATTGGACACAAGCTGAACACAGAAGATTAGGCCCAGGAGAGGGGCTGTTGTTTTTTGATAATCAAGAAAAAGTGCTTCACATATACAAAGGGTCACATTGATGCTGTCCAAAGAAGTACGACAAAAACTTATAGGATGGGGATCTCAAAGGTCCAGAATTATCAGTGTACTTCAAAACGAAGAACGAGGAGGCTCAAATGTATATTATCCAGTATTATCCGTCTACCAATGATAGAAATGAAGACGATCAACATCAGTTTCACGAGAGGCTACAATCGATCATAGCGAACTGCTCAGGAAAGGACCTGATCATCCTGATCGAAGACCTAAATGCCAAAGTCGGAATGGACAACATCGGGTATGAAGATACCATAGGATGACATGGACTAGGAGAAAGAAACGAGGATGGTGAGAGGTTTGCAGATCTATGTGCATTCAACAAATTGACCATAGGAGGCACAATATTCCCACACAAACGCATACACAAAGCTACATGGGTCTCACCGGATCACACCGCAGAGAACCAATTAGATCATATTTGTATCAATAAAAAATTCAGAAAAACAATAAAAGACATGAGAACCAGGAGAGGAGCTGACATAGCTTCAGATCACCACCTGGTTGTGGTCAAGATTAAGCTGAAGTTAAAGAAACACTGGTCAACTGGACAAACAGCAGTACAAAGGTTCAATACAATTTTCCTATTAGATACTAACAAACCAAACAATTCAAGTTCGCTCTCAACAACAGGTTTCAAGCCTTACAAGATCTACTCAAAGGAGAAGAAAATACTACGGGGAACAAATGAAAACAGACTGAAGAAACACTAACATCACCGTTTCATGAGGTGTTGGGTAACAACAAGCAACATCACAAGGAATGGATCTCCATCCCAACCCTGGACAAAATTTAACAAAGGAAGAACGAGAAGATGGCAATCAACAACAGCCGAACAGAAACAAATAAAGTCAAGGCACAAACTGAATACACAGAAGCAGACAAGCAAATGAAGTGGAGCATTAAAGCCGACAAGCAGAAATACGTGGAAAAAATAGCAAAAACTGCAGATAGAGCTGCGGAGAAATATGAAACAACTGTATGACCCAAGAAGAAACTGGTAGGGAAATATGGTAAGCCAGAGAGATCGGTCAATAATAAAAAAAGACAAGCCAATCCCTGTAATTCAATGAGAGATCGATGAAAACTTTGGATAACGCTTGAATAAACTAACCCCATAGAGTCCACCGGACATAGAAGTAACACACATAGACCTTCCTAAAGAAATCAGGATGACCTGTCGTCAGACAAACCAACAATGGAGAAGCAGCAGGAGTAGACAACACGCCAGCTGAAACACTAAAGTCAGAAATAAAGGTAAATGAATTGATGTTCCATACTTTTCTTAAGAGGATTTGAGAAGAAGAACATGTGCCACTGACAAACTGGAAAGAAGGATACCTCATCAAGATACCAAATGAAGGAGATCTGAGTAAATGTGAGAACTACAGAGAAATCACACTACTTTCAGTACCAGAAAAAGTTTTTAACAGTGTTGTTAATCAGAATAAGAGATTAGGTAGACGCCCAACTTCGAGATCAACAGGCTGAATTCCGTAAGGATCGGTCGTGCACAGACGAAATCGCGATGCTATGGATCATCGTTGAACAATCAGTTGAGTGGAACTCGTCACTATATATCAACTTATTTGATTATGAGGAGGCACTTGATGGTGCAGATAGAAGAGCATTATGGAAACTTCTTCGACACTACAGTATACCTGAGATCGTCAACATCATATGGAATTCATACGACGGACAACAGTGAAAAGTCATGCATGGAGGGGAAGCAAGTAATACAATGAAAGCTTGCATGCAACTACAAAATTCGGACTTCTCAGATGACCCAGCGTTTCTATTCCGAACACACGAGCAAATGCAGATGAATACAACCAGTTTATCAACAGTCTCTGCATCAGTGGGCCTCAACATACACAAGGAGAAAACCAAGATCCTCAAATACAACACACAGAACACCAACCCAATCACACTTGATGGAGAAACTCTGGAAGATGTAGAATCTTTAACGTATCTGAAAAGCGTCATCAATGAACAGGGAGGATAGGATGCAGATGTGAAGAATAAAGAACACAATAAGTTGGGAATCGGAAGCAGACATAAAAAGGATGAGTAGCAACTGGAAACAAGTGGAAAGAATTGTCTAGAACAGGGTTCGACGGAGAATGCTGGTGAGCGGCCTATGCTCCTCCATGAGGGGTAACAGGCGTAAGTAAGTGAGCCGCTGAACTCGTAATTGTGCATCTAACTGAGTCATCATTACTAACTTAAACAAAGTCATGTAAAAACACCATTGAGTGTAGAAGATTAACGCAAAATAAATAAACAAACTGTTGCAAAATTAGGACAGTAGTTTTTAAAACCCACATTGGACCCTACCTCCATTATTTATTTACAATTAAATGACGATAGTTGCATATTTTTGAACGTATTAGTTAACTGACGCTAAGTATGATTGTAATTGAGTACAGACAGCTTCACAGAAGAAAAATTATAAATTCTTACACAAAAATGAAACTTTTTGAATCGGTTGGATACTCAATCGTGCAGAGAGGATGAATAAAAGATCAAATATGTGAACACGGAACACAGGATATAACATGAATTATCCCACTAAAGAAGGTTAGAAAATGCCTCACTGTCAAAAATATCGTAAAAAATTAATACACTAAAATTGTTGTGATCTATGTCCTATAAAAATTAGATAAATAGATAGGTGAAAATACAAATGACACTTATTACATTATCCAAATCTCTCAGTTACATTAAATTTCGAAGTAACGACTGTGGACTAATGTTATCGTTTTTCAGTCTTTAATTTGGATGTCCTTAAATAAATAAAGCGGTAACTGCGAAAGTAAAGGAAATAGGGCATTACTAGTAAAATCAAACCGGTAGATATAAAAGATTACAAAATCACAACATATTAGTGGCAAGTGAAGTATCCAAACCTTTCAACCAAACCTTAAAACTGAAAAACATAATGTTTAAAACAATAATAAGATACTTCGATGGTGTAGACAGACAGCACTTTGTTTTGCATATAAAGTATTCGTGATTCCCAGTAAGTTTAAACTGAAAAAGTTTCAAAGTTAAAAATTCTCTTCTCAATTCTTGAATATTTTGATCAAATGACGAAATACACTTTAAAAGGCTCGGTATCTATTATTCATGGTATTAAGTATACATACATTTATATAATTAGGATGAATTGTATGTTATTGTAGTAAGTATAAACAGTTTTAAATTACCGGTGAGTAGGAGCCTTTCTTCTGGTTTCCCACAAGAAACATTAACAACCGTGTCGAACAGATATGCGCGACCTTGACTTCCTTGAAATGACTTGGAAATAAGATCTTGATGACGAGCAAGGTGAGCACGACAATGTACACAGCTGTATGTACGGTCATCACTATCGCTACTGTTACTGCAACTACTGTTGCTGCTGTTGCTTCGTGTTGAGCTGTTTCCTTGTGCTCCTAAGTAGACTTGAAATGTCTTTACCATGACAGTGGTCTGGTGAGAAAAATCACGAAAAAACCGTTTGTGATTAAATAAAGGAAAGAGGTCCTTGCATATGTACAGGAATTATGCGCACAGAATAATCTGAGTCAACATTTACGATTATATACATAGTCTAGTTCATATCCTAAAGCTGCTAAAAATGAATAGCTACGTTCGAAAGTTGAATGAATAGCAGACGTTAGTATTTTTCCAGTTTATAATTTAAGCACATACTAATCATGTTATTTTGTGATTGCACAAAGCAAATAAACTGAGTTTTTCTTGAATCAATAGATAGATGATAGATCTGAAGTGTGATGTAATCAGCTTAAAAAACCACAGAGCATTAAAACTTTAGTCGAGTCATCGCATAGCGCTTCAAAGCAATGAATATGCAGGGTGTGCTACAAAAGCCCACATAATAAGACAACTTTGCATGTAGAACCCTATCACCTTTTGATGAGTTTGTCATTGATATACGGCACATTAAATTTCATTACTAAAACACACAAGTTCCTTAATCTTCTAGCTTAATTGGCTCTAGTGTCACGGATGGTGTAAGCTCGCGAAACTTGAATCTTTCGCAAATTTTCTTTGATATTAGATGAAAATAATATCCCAGAATAATATGGATTATAGCTAAATATCGTTTATTGACAATAGTTCCACCTATATTATCAGTACACAATCTCGGTCTACCTTAGGTTCCTGAGTTTATACAATATAGACATGATCGCTTAAACTAACTAATACAAAGTATTATCAAACTGAATATGTACAGCCAGCATTCTGGGTTTTAAAAGTGCTATATATGAACAAAATGATATCCACTTTAAACCTATGATAAATTGGCCAGCAACAATGGCTCATTGGCTATAGCGTCCACTTATAAGTCGACAAAGTGATTTTTCCGATATTTAATACTCTCAAACATTGAGGACCCCGAAATCGGATAACAAAACATGTCGCTTTATACAATTACGGGGTTATGTTCTGCCAAGAATAATAGAGACATAATCGTCAATTATAGAGCAATAATTTGTGGAACATTAAATCCGTCATAAGATTTTACCTAAATAACGAATGCAATGCGGGTAAAGTATAATTAATTGAAATAAGTAAACCGAGAACAATCGTTAGTTGATAACTCTTCAGGCATTTGAAACAGAGTTTATGAACAGTGTTTAAAACCTTTCGATATCGCGAATTGAAATAGTCTAAGCATACTAGTGTCTGATTTAAATAGCTAAGCCGCTACATACATTTAACAAAGTCAATATAATGTTGTAATGTGATGAGAATATGCGTAGCCATCCCGTAAGAAGTCGAGATATTCCCAAAAAGATTTAATGGAAAAACAAAAGCACAATTGATAAAAACCGAAGAATGTATTCGAATACACAGTCATTTACATGTATAACCACCCATTAGCAATTTACAGTTCAGGAGTCTATGGGTAGAAACAGTTACCATTAAGAATAAAACAAAATAGCTGACTTAATCACTTCGATAGTTATTCGAGCTTGTATTTCACCTTATTTACAAATTTACTGTGACCAGTAACCATATTTCGTCTGTGAGACTCAACAGAGTTAAACTAAGTGTAAATTCACATGAAGAGATACCTAATGCGAAATGCTTATCAGACGTCAGTGTTAATTGTTTTTAAAAGCATAAAGTGCGATAAACATCTACCTATTTCATCGAAATCCTTGACCTTTCTGCTACAACAGCTGATTGAAGGTTATTCCGTCGGTTATGAAAATCCCGGTACAAAGAGTAAATGCATAAATGCTTCGTAAAAACAAAGTTCAACAAACGAAAGAGTATAAAGTATCATCACTAAAAAATCGAATGAATTATGCCATTTGTCAGAATTATGATCTTTAGTTAAGGATAAAAGCGTGCATAATGTATAACTCTTATTCTACTCCCAGGCCACTCCACCAAAAATTATGTTGAGTAACAAGGGCCACAGTCAGTCTTCAATACAGATTCAGGCCTCGGTAGTTTTACTGGAATCACTCCCTAGGTCACACATTTGAACTATATCACGAGCGGATACGTCGTGCTACTCAGCCCTAGCAACTGCTAGTCACCTTAGATCAGTCGCTTCTTGATATATCGGAGACTTTCCAAATATATCATTCACCCCTGACTTATTGTTTGACTGAGATTATATCTTTCGATCATAAAGATGTTATGGATATAAATGTTGTGAAGCTCAAAAGACCTGTAGCATCTTTAGTATCACGGATGTCTCATACCTACAAAATCTCATTAAAACTGTAATTTGGCAATAATAATCCACAAGAATAAGATTTAGCAAATATGATTTTCATCTACTGTATATCTCCATACATTAGCATAGCACCAGTTTTCCAATGGAAGCTACACATGCCTAGTTAAAAAATAAGCCCCGTGTTGTGTTTTCCATATTAGTTTACCTAGACCGCTCGTGATTTTCAAACATTGTATTTTAATCTCTCTCCAAGACGCTAAAGATCTCCTGTTGTTTATGGTCAATACTTATAATAATGTAATCTTAAGCTCCATTCTTCAGTGTTTTTCATAATCTGTTGCCGATTTTTTCAGACCGTAAAATACCCTCTATTTAATACGCTCTATTTAAAAGGACTGTGGTATTCTTTCTTGTTGAGTTAATAAACTGTTTTGATCGTAAAATACGCATCAAAACTACTGTTTGCACTTTAATTGCATCTACCCCAGTTAAAGTGATATTGCATTGAGTTTTTCGATTTTGTTTCTGTGTATTTATTGCATCGAAGCATACTTGGTCGACTTTTACTAGGTTTATTTAGTTAATTTTTGAAAATTCCTTTACATATCCTGTTTTTTATCACCGTTCTAGTTGATTTTCGCGATGGCTAAGTCTACTCATAAATGTGGACAATCATACTGCTTATTTCCCGTGGATGAAGGGATGCAATGTGATGAGTGTAATAAGTGGTTCCATAAGATGTGCACCCGACCAAGCCCCACTGCATATAAAAGGTGTTCAAAGCCCAACTCTCATTGGCTTTGTAGTTTTTGTTGCTCAAGCAAAACATTGCTTATCCAGGAAGCAATTAGCCTCCTGGTGTTGGCTAATAAGAAGGTTGATGAAGGCTGTGCTGATAACATTGGTACTGATGGCGAAGATTGCGTTTGTGTCGTAAGTGCTGTCACGGCGCAAGCCAGACATCTACCTGTGCAACCCGCAGTTAAACGTTCTCCCCCGAAACGTTCAGTGAGTGACACGTCATTAGACGTTGGTGGCCATATTGCTACAGCAGCAACCGGTGACCCAGATAAAACAATTACTTTCCCGAGTTGTTCTAATGTAGACGTTTCGACTGATGGAAAATGGATGACGCGAAAACGCAGAAGAGTAGAAAAGATAGCTAAAACTAATGGCTGTTTACTTGGTAAGTCCTTGGTGGACTCTCAGGCCACAACGCCAAAGTCCCATAGTAAAGCTTCGTCTGACATTGTTGTGAGTCATTCGCTTGACTCCCAGGACTCTGTTAAAATGAAAACTAATCGTAAGATACCAGTAGTTAAAATACAGGATCTAACGTCACAGTCGAAAGCTGTGAACACAGTTTCAAAAGAAGCCAAACCCCTCCCTAGTTTAATTATTTGGAATCTAGAGGAGTCGAAAGACAACGACCCTGCTAGAAGACATGCACATGATCTGCAGTTAGTGGAGTCTGTGGTAAGGAATGTACTACCTGAAGAGGTTTCAGAAGTACATATTACAAAAGTAATACGACTTGGTAAATGGGTTGGAGGCGAGACCCAACCAAGAAGAATCTTGAAGCTGGTCCTCGGGAGTTTTGATGAAAGAGACACATTATTGAAAAGCGCACTAAAAACTCGTGCCTCAAATATCCGTATTCGACCAGATTGGCCACTTGAGGATCGAATCAAGTGGAAGAATGCTCTTACGGAGTTGAGGACTCGCAAACTAAATGGCGAAAATAACCTTACCATTAAGGGTTTTCGGGTAGTCAGGTCTTCGAAGCCAATGCTTCCGCGGCCTGTATGGGTAGAACGATTGATTGCTAAAACACCTTAAGTGTGTGCTGCACGAGTGCTCGTAATCTTAGAAATAAAACGTCCGAGCTAAGTCTGATGGTGCAAGAATTATGTCCCGATATAATCGTTGTTACAGAAACTTGGTTCACCGTTGATATAGACTGTCCTCCTTTCATTGCTGGTTATATCTGTATCAGAAGTGATAGAGTTTCAAGTCGCAAAGGGGGAGGTGTAATATTATACGTTAGGGATCACTTTCGTATATAATCAACCATATCGGAGGCTCATATCAGTGGCACATGTGAGGTTGCATGTTGTAAGATTAAATCTAGAAATGGGTTAGTGACTATAGGGGGAATATACCGTAGTCCGTCTTGTCTTGCTGACGACTTTATCCTAAGACACATCTGTTCTTGGAGTATGGCAAAATGTTGTCTCATCATTGGGGACTTCAACGCACCGCATATCAACTGGATAGAACTTACAGCTCCAGGTAGTGGTTTCGATGGCGACCTTTTATCTACCGTTATTCAGTGTGCACTTGTACAATGTATCACAAAACCGACACATATTGATTTGCAACATGTTCCGTCACTGCTGGACCTCGCCCTCACCCACCACTCTGAGGATGTCCTTGATATCCAGCAGTGATCACGTTGTAATTCACTTTAAGTTTAGGACACATGGTATACAATTCGTATCTGCTCCACCCCGTCCCAATATCTGGCGAGCTAATATTCCGGAAATCAGAAACTGTGCTATCTCGACTGATTGGTCGGTCGACGCGGATGGATTGATCGAAGTTTAAGGCTATATTCGAGTTTGTAACGTCGCCGTTTATCCCATGGTCAACACGTCAGCTATCACATTGCCCTCCATGGATTAATAAGGAAACCCGGAAGCTGTTAAGGCATAGGAAACATTTCTGGGACTTATTCTTGTTGACAGGTCATGCACCATTT